ATTATGCATGTGTTTAAATGTTAATGTATGTGTGAACAAAATTGATAAAAGTTTAGAAATTACTCGATACACTTAGTCTTTTTAAAGAAATATTTGAAATCCATTTTGATAGATCGGTAGAGACTCATATTGTTAGAGCGTCACGACACTTTTGACATTACACATTTTCAACACTGTATATCACTGTTTATAATATACGTAGTTGATTATGATTCTTAATTATTATACATATTATAGCTGAAGTAACACTTCTTCCACCAAGGAAAGTAGAAGACAAACTAAAGTTTAATTAATTGTACTGAGCTACAATAAATAATAGAAAATTAAATAATCTTGTCGTCTTATCATAACAAATAATAAGTCTGTATATATAAATAACTCTCACTCTTCAGTTTGCACTAGAAATTTTAAGGTGAAATCGGTTACGCAGTACGGATGTGGTTAGAGTATAAATGTATATTTTTTCTTAAGTCTTTTCATTTTTGATGGCATTTTTATTTTGCATTTTAGTCTGAATTTGTTTATAACAAAAAGTCGTTCTGATAGTAAAAAATATAAATTGGTGATGTGCTTTATATTTGGCTATTATATATGCAAGTATATGAGGTTTCAAGTGAAACTTAAATAAATAATAATAAGTTTATCAAGTGTTTGAGAGGTTTATTATGCTTATACATATGATGTTCTCCTGACCGGTTCCGGCCACGGCGGCCAATCTCATTGAGACTAGCCAACTGCGCAGGAGATGTTATAATGCACAAGTGTACGCGCAGACACAAGTGCACTCTCTATTCCTGTCACTCTCATACTCTGGCGGGACGACCACTCGACACGACCAACGAGAGTTAAGGCGCAGGACCGACGGCTTTACGTGCTCTCCGAGGCATGGGGGTGAAACACCGCCAACTTCCCAACTCCGGGCTGTTACTGAGGCTTACTATAAAGAAAGACTCAATAACTAAACTTGGTCCGACCCGGGACTCGAACCCAGGACCTCCGGGTGTGCAGCCGTACATGCTAGCCACTACACCACCGAGGCAGTTAATACATATATCGCCTATCCCTATTAACATTGTCGGATACGCAAATTTGTCATTTTCTTTTTATTTCACTAATCACTCTTAAAAAGTCTCTTCTTTTAGTAGCTGCAACAAAAAAATATTTTTTGCGAGTAGTTTTTAAAATAGCCACAAGTAATTTTTGTTAACCTAAATTGTATATTTAAAAAAATATCAACAATTCAAACTTTGACGCACTCTCCTGTAAAGTTGCCGATTTTCACATCCGACAATGTTAATAGGGATGGGCGATATATACCTACTAGAGATTTGTAGTGGTACGTTTTAATGGTTAGTGCGAGTATGATATAGATAGATAGGCTATGTATCATATGATACATAGCTATCTAATGCGAAAAGAATTTTTCAAATCGCATAAGTAGTTCCTGAGATTAGCGCGTTCAAACAAACAAACTCTGCCTCTATATAATATTAGTATAGATAAGCATAATAAGCATATATTTGTTGTAATGTGTAATTTATAACATGTAGTGCCAAATATACAAAAAATTTAAGGATAATTTCAATAAATTATTACTTTCTTTAAATTCTTTTAACGTAGAGCTCTCCTCTACGCAAATCTCTATCACGCTTTGAGTTGTTTATATCTAAGCCCGCACTTAAGTAACGCTCTTCCGCCATAAATAGACCTTTTTTATATAGTGCAAGAATTAATCTTATTATGTCACAGAAGCTTTTGGATTTGACTTGGCAGTTGGAAATAAATGTTCTAAATAATACATTTATGGCTGTTTATTGCTCTTTATTTAGGTGTTTTTTGTACTTATTGTCACATCTTTATCTTAAAATGTTATCATCTCTCTATGGCTTTAACCAGCTTGAGATTGTTTATTTTAAATCTTTGCTTAGTTATCAAATTAAATTACGTTCATAATGAACTTTTTTTTGAAGAACTTTCTTATGTATGGTCCTGAAATTCTATATAGCTTATACAGCTACTATCATCGCCCGCGGCTCCGCCCGCGTTCAGGTGACCAAAAACCTCTGTCAAGTCTGTTACCGCCTCACAGAAAAACCACTGGAGGGCTTTTGATGAAATTAGGTATGGTGATAGCTGGTTATCCGGGTCAACATATAGGATACTTTTTACCGCGGAAAAATGTCTCATTTCTGAGAAAACATACAAAAACTCCAATGTACGAGTATACTAATAATATGTAAAACCTAAGAATTTGGTTTTTGATCATCTGAACGCGGGCGGAGCCGCGGGCAATGCTAGTATCATATATTGTTGAATATGGCTGAAAGTAGGCACGTTTTTTGGTTAATTACACTTTACTTATTTTTCGAAGTATTAAAGATAGATGTAAGATTGATGTAATCTATCTATCTTCTATACATATAATAAAATTCTGAATTGAATCTGTACATTAAATATTTTTGGAAAATCTTATTGAAATAGTGATTATTATCGATACAGAGACCAAATCTGTAGTTTTTGGAATTTTTGTCTGTCTGTGTGTGACCGCATCACGAGAAACCCACTGGACGGATTTTGTTAAAATTTGGTATGATGATAGCTGGTTATCCGAGTCAACATACAGGATACTTTTGACAGCGGGAAAATATCTCATCTCTGAAACATCTTTACTAAACGTTCAAACGTAACTAGGGACGACCCCGAGTGAAGCGAGGGTGAGTCGCTAGTTTATTTTATAAAATCGTTTATGGCTTGCAGAGTGATAGACCGAGGAGAACGGAGAGATTTGCTGCCGTAACCGACATCAGTCTGGAGGACATTATTAGCATGACCCATAAAGTCACTGCACTATTTGTGTGTAACTACGTGTATAGGTGAAATTGGCATAGAGATAGATTATAGTTTGTAAAAACACATAGGGGCTACTTTTTATCCCGAAGAAATATACGGTTCCCGTGAGATAGGTTTGATTTTGTTTTCCTAGAGGTGAACCCGAGCGAAGCAAGGGTGAGCCGCTACTTCTAAATACCAAAGTTTGTGTGTATATTTGTTACTTTTTATGCTATAACGTTTTAAATAAAATTCAGGATATAGAAAGCGTAGAAGTACCATACTTTGTCGAATAGGCCACTTCGTTTCGACGTAACTATCACGTAAAACTAAAAAAAAAACTCGCAAAAGGTAGGTTTCATACAAATTTACATCCCCTATTTTACCCTCTTATGGGATGAATTCCGAAAAATGCTAAAACACGTATTTATTTAATTGTATTGTAAGTGAATTAATAGTAAGTTTCAAGTAATTCTAATTATTAACAATTTTTGGGTTTTATTATAACGTATTTTTCCGTGGGAATGAGATAATCTCCTGCGGTAAAAAGTAGCCTATGTCACTCTCTAGCCCACCAACTATCTCCACACAAAAAAATCTCAGCAATCCATCACTCCGTTTTGACATGAAAGAAAGACAAACAAACAAACACACTTTTGCATTTATAATATTAAGTGTGGATTATATGTATATCTTTCTCCGAGTATACTGATTGACATACGGACAGGTTTTGCCTTTCGGTCGCTTATTTTAAGGACCTGTTATCTTGCACTGTTATCACCATAAGTGGTGTGAAATGTGAAATGTATGTCAAAATAGTTAATTTAATTAGATTTTTTTGTCAGATGCTTATAGATTTTAACTGCTTTAAATATGTTAAGCAAATGTCAAACCGTACACGGTATAGTGTGAAGATTACTACATACATATATAATTTACTAGCATTGCCCACGGCTCCGCCCGCGTTCAGATGACCAAATACCTAATTCTTAGGTTTTACATATTAGTATACTCTTACAATGCAGTTTTTGTATTTTTTCTCAGAAATGAGATATTTTCCCGTGGTAAAAAGTAGCCTATATGTTGACCCAGATTACCAGCTATCATCATACCAAATATCATCAAAATCTGTCCAGTGGTTTTCTCGTGATGCGGTAACAGACAGACAGACAGATAGACAGAAAGAAAGACAGACAGACAGACAAAAATTCTAAAAACTATAGATTCGGACTCTGTATCGATAATCATGTCTATTTCAATTAGATTTCCCAAAAAATATTTAATGTACAGATTTGACTTAGTTATAATTTTATTATATGTATAGAAGATATTTCAATCATAGTAAGAATTTAAGTGAGGTTCTAAGCTATTTAAGCTAGAAAGTAAACACGAAGTTGTAAAATTGTGTCATCTATTTGAAGATGATGGTCAAAGGGTTTAAAAAGATAATTTGATTAGAAAACTTATATGTAGAGAACACATGTCTTAGACTGTTGTACGAGTATGATTTATGTTTACATTTTATGTTCCATAAATTTATATAAAACTAAGTATCACAATTATAGTTTTTTTTCTATGATTCCTTTAGTAATATTATGTTATACTAGTGACTTACCTAAAAACTAAACTACAAATAAAGATCTAAACTAAACTTTAAGATTTTTTTAACAGGAATAATTCTGTGATTTATTGTTTTTATTATAATTTATTAGTTTACGCGGCGCCGATAAAGCTCCCAGCCGGCATGATTTATTCCGACATCTTCAAGAACCATCGCCATATTTCAGAAAATTTACACAAAACCTTAATGAATTATACACCTAAACCTTTCAAAAAAAAACGACAAACCCGTAAAAAATCTGTTTGATACTTTTTGAGTTTATCGCGTTCAGACAGATAGGTAGACGCGGCGGGGGACTTCATTTTGTTATACATATACATTTTATAATATATGTATGTAGTGATCTGGTCATAAGCACATAGAAATGTGGAAATTGATCGAAGATTTATGACTTTGTCTAGAGTTTTTTTTTTTAATTAAATACATAATTTCTAAATGATACATATTTCATTAGAATAAAGAAAATTATTTTCGAATCTTTCATATTGGTTCATTCAATCGATTTCATATGGATGATACTAAAATAAAATTCATCGTATTTAATACTAACCGTTCGAAACATAGTAGGAACGTTAAAGTAGTCCTGTGGCGAGTCCACAGCCACGGCGAAGGGGGCTGCGCATATGTTCCTCAAGGTCCTAAGTGCAGCGAGCGACAGCGTGGCCGCCACCGTCGTCGACATAAGCGTCCTCGCACTATCTCCCGTACACTCATTCAAAAGATTCCATACCCCGCGCCAAGCCCCCACACAAGCCACCCCGGCGACACAGGTGTAAAACCGAGATAAGATATAATAAACCACCCTCCCTCTATCCGGTCTTAAGTACTTGCTCAATTGTGTCTGAAAGACGCAAAACACCAAGTCGCAGCACAACCCGAATGCTGCGCAGGCGGCGGCGCTCGACACGGGGTCGCTTAGCACGTACAGGTCCATGAGAGACCATGTCGACTTCCAGTAGGTCACCACAGCAGGTGCTACAACAGCACTAGCAAAAACTACATCTGCGAATTCTAAAAGCGCGGGGTTTGAACCACTCGCGAGAGTGTCGGTCAGGCCGGCGGTACTTCCACGCATGGCTGATGCGAGTGCGCCGAGCTACGGGTTCACTGCGACTAGAGATTACTCGCATATAATTGCATTATCACCGCGTCCTCTGACGTACTGTTTGGGTACCTAACTCCCTCTCGGTTCAAATGCTTTCTTTCGTTTATTTATGTAACACTTAACAGATTGTTTTATTGTTGTTGGTTTTGTAAGAATTGCTCGATATTGTCAGTTTTTTAGAAAAAAATGAGGTTTTAAGATTAAATAAAACTATCTTTTCGGATTTTTCGCGGACTTCGGGAGAGACTCTTCCGTGACCATGATTGCTGTAAAGCATTCAAAACGTCGGGAACGAAAATCAAAAGAAATCCGCGAAATAATCAGAAAAGATAGTTTTATTTAAAATGTCAAATTTCGCGTAAATCTAAGATTTTTTTAAGACTTTTGTTTACAGTGAAATTACCAGCTTCAAAGTATTGTTTTCATCTCATGTTTGAATTAGATATAGTTTCTATCACTATTTATTTATAAAAAAACATAATGATACAGTTTTGACAACACTTGCTGTGCCAGCGGTCGCGGGTTCGAGTCCCGCTGGAGGCATACCATTTGTGTGATGAGCACGAATGTTTGTACTCGAGTCATGGGTGTTTATATTTAAAATGTATACACATATACTTAAAAATTATATATGTGTAGTGTATCAAATATCTGGTATCCATAAAACAAGCCTCGTAGCTTACCATGGAACTAGATGGTGCTGTGTGTTAATGTACCAACATATTTATATTTCTCATATTTCATTATAATCATATTACATAAATATATTACCGTTTGTATCGTTTATTTAATACATATTTAATGCATTAGAAAACGATAGGTGATCGCATGGCTTTTAATTTAGATTTAGCACAATATGACAAAGATTTTTTGCGAAATGTGATCGAATCTGCTATCACTAACGCAGATGCATGTAACACAATGTGACTTATAATATTTAAGATGAAAAGAGTTTAATGTACGATAAAATCAAACTTCTTAGCAATAACGATTGCTACATAGTAGTGGCTTGTGACTACATTTAGCTGACACTTCGAGATCGTGGTTTCATCTTTTTATATATTAACTAGCATTGCCCGAGGCCCCGCCCGCGTTCAGGTGAACAAAAACCAAATAAAATAACGCTATTGTTATTTTTTTTCAAGATAAGCTATATTTTTGCCTTATTTAGTAAGGTACCGTGCTAAAATATATGTATATAGTATCATCGTGGTTTTATTCTAACCAGTTTTTGTATTTTTTCTCAAAAAATGAGATATTTTTATATATTAAAGTCTAATCTATACATATTATAATAAAATCGTAACTAAGCCGAATCTGTACATTCAATATTTTTTGGAAAATCTTATAGAAACAGACATTACTATCGATACAGAGGCCGAATCTATATTTTTTAGAATGTCTGTCTGTCTGTCTGTCTGTTACCACATCACAGAAAAACCACAGGAGGGATTTTGATGAAATTTGGTACCATGATAGTTTGTTATCCGGGTCAACAAATAGGATACTTTTTACCGCGGGAAAATATCTCATTTCTGAGAAAAAATGCAAAAACTACAGTAAGAGTATACTAATCTGTAAAACCTAAGAATTTAGTTTTTGGTCATCCGAACACGGGCGGAACCGCGGGCAATGCTAGTATTTACTATATATCTTTATATTTCTTTGGCCTTTGCCTATATATAGTAAAATAAAGAAAAAAATCCAGTTTGTCTATACAATATGTTGTCTATATAATAGGTTCACTTCTTACTACTACTACTACTTCAGTCATACCTCAGTCTACCTATTGAAGGAACCTTAATATACACATGGGTTAAAAATAGAAATATTATAAATGTTTAACAAATAAACCAATTTTCCACAGTTTTTATCTTCTATCTGTTGGAAGATTTTTAATTTTCAAAAATAAAAATAATTATCACCTATACGACCTTTTCTATTAAAAAGCTATCACGGTTATTTCCATCGAAATTAGTTTAACGATGTAGCAATAAAGTTGTTAGAAACACAGTAAAACTTACATTTACAAATATTTACAAGAATATGAAATAAGTATAAGGATAATTTTTACGACAATTTATATGACGATGGAAAGATACTTGGAATATTTTAATCTTTATTATTAAGATTGTTTGTGTTTACCGTAATATCATTGTGTTCGACATCGTTTGGGCTGTTTCCTTTATTTATTTCACATATTTGTAGAGCACTTAGACGCGATACTGTTACTTGTTATCGTAAATGGCCACAGGAAAGATTTATGTAGTGAAGATAGTCTACGTTTTGTTTTTGCTTAATATATAAAATCACCCTTTATCCGACTGTGAAGCACAAAAGGAGGGTTATGTAGTTGTCCGAAATTTCGCAGTTAAAAATGCACTTTTTTTTTTAACGTTGGGAAATGCATTTACGTACGACGTGTGGGACTCACCGGCGTAATACAGCCAGTACTACCCACTAAAACCCAACAAAACCTTCCCCCGTCTTAATGGGGCGTCGCAGGATCGCTTACGCATTCAACTACGACGCCCCGACGGCAGGTCCGCCGAAGCAGACCACCACAACCATGGGGTTGCTCCATAGTCCACTCTGCTATGAGAGAAGTACCAGGAGCAACCCGCATGGCAACCTCCCTGTGCGTTTCTTAGCTTCGCTACTGCTACTGAGCCCCCCCACCACGACAAGGTGAACGCACGTTGGGGGGGAGTTAAAAATGCACTAGTTTATCTTCGACTGTATAACAATTTATTTCTTTTTTTACTCTGGGAAATGTATTTAAGCATACCACCTGCATACATACATTTGACTGGCTAAAAAAGCCAATTCTACGTACTAAAACCCAACGGAATCTTCGTCGTGATAATGGAGCTTGGCAGAATCACTTGCGCACTCAACTACAATGCCCCGACGGCTGATTCACCGAAGAAGGCCACAACAACGAAAGGGTTGCTCCCACAGCCTACTCTGCTATGGGAGAAGTGCCAGGAGCTACCCACTGCCTCTCATTGCATCTCTTACCTCCACGCACGGGTCGATTGCCTGATATTACTAAGCCCCCAAACCCACCACCCCCCTCCCCCTCTTCAGATAGACTGGGTCAGTCAGTTGAGAAGTTATTCATAATTTATGTAATTTAAGCATTAAATCGGGTGACCCTCGCGCTAATGTTCGTAATGGGTAATGCTCGCAAATCATGTTGTACATCCTCTTCCTTACTGTGATCTCATTCCTTGACCCTGTCCCATGATTCAATGTATACAATAGTATTCTTACATGCTTACATTCTTTGACGACACGTTTGGCTCACTCTTTAGTGACTCTTTAGTGCCAGCGGTCGCGGGTTCGAGTCCCGCTGGAGGCATACCATTTGTGTGATAAGCACGAATGTTTGTACCCCAGTCAAGGGTTTTTAGTTTTTATATTTATAATAAATGCATATTTAAAGTTATATATGTATAGTATATCAACTATCTGGTATCCATAACACAAGCCACGTAGCTTACCATGGAATTAGATGGCGCTGTGCGTTATTATAGTTATAGTTACTATAATAACTTTTTACTATAAATATAACACCGATTTCAAAGTCAAAATTGTTAATTCATTCTTAAGGATGGATTTGTTTTTATTATATATAGGACCCTAAAAATACTACCCAGAAGCAATATAAAAAAAACTTAGTATGAAAATCGATTCAAAATTAGCGAATATATCGCGTAATATATAACAAGAATAACACTTATCCATTTTAAAATCGGTTAAAAACATTAATTACCAAATTATTAGAAATCAATTTATGGTTAAGAATGGCAAAGATTCATAATTTTATTCTGGCGAATCTGACCAAAGTAGCATTTCCTGTAAACGTTCAACAATATTGCATGATCCATTATTATTGATGGTAACGAAAAGGCGAGTCAGCAGAAAAACTGTTTGGTTGCTTTATCTACATCATATTAAAGGCATTGGGCCAATGAGTCATTAGTAAATAATTACTTATTTATCGACGATCTGATAAATTTTAGCTATGAATCATAATTATTATGTTTTAGCGTTTTATCTACAAATATAATAGAATTTTAACTTAGACGAATCTGTACATTAAATATTTAGACATTATATCTATGCAAAGGCCGAATCTATAGTTTTTAGATTTTTTGTCTTTCTGTCTGTCTGTCTGGAAACTCATCATGATAAAACCACTGGACAGATTTTAATGAAATTTGGTGTGATGATAGCTTGTTATCTGGGTCAACATATACAATACTTTTTACTGCGGGAAAATATCTCATCTCTGAAAAATCTATACTAACTGTTAAATGTTAGGGATGAACCCGAGCGGAGTAAGGGTGAATCGGTAGTTTATATATCAATAACTCAAAGACAAAACTGTTAAATGCCAATTTCTTTTCTATTTATCAACCGATTTCATTTATTTTTTGTTTAGTAGGTATTGACTAGCTTAAGTATTATCAATAAAAAATGTTGGATATTTTTTTTATAGATAGATAACAGTTCAGTACATTTTTCTCCTCTGTTTGTCAAGCGGTTTTCCTTATTATTTGTTTAGATAAAAAAAATCTTAAAAATAATAATAAATGGTTATAGTCAAAGATAATTAAACGTTGATTGGTGTATAATCATTCGCTTTATAAAATTCGGTTATCTATACATATAATAAAATTCTTAAGCCGAATCTGTACATTAATATAAAATAATAAATTTTTTGGAACATCTTATTGATATAGTCATTATTATCGATACAGAAGCCGAATCTTTAGTTTTTAGAATTTTTGTCTGTCTCTCTGTCTGTTACCGCAACACGAGAAAACGACTGGACAGATTTTGATGAAATTTGGTATGATGATAGTTGTTTATCCGGGTCAATATGTAGGATACTTTTTACCGCGGGAAAAAGTGTCATTTCTGAGAAAAAATACAAAAATTGCAATGTAAGAGTATACTAATATATAAAACCTAAGAATTTGGTTTTTGATCGAGCGCGGAGCCGCCAGCACGTGAAATATAAAATTTTGCACTAAAATAAGTTTTACGCATATACCAATAGACGGAGGGGATTTCCCGTTTTTTTTCCACGAAGAAAGTAGAGGAACTTTATGTCTATACGATCAATTAACTAATCATTTCATTGATTATTAAATACGATTGCATGAAACTATGCCATCTAGTGACAGTAATGAAAAACACAGTTTGTTAATACAATAATTTTACGCTTAAAATGCTTAAGCTTACTTAAAAAAATCATAGACTCTTGCAGTGAAAATGGAGTGACTATAATTTAAAAACAATCAATTAATTATTTTTTTGAACAATATAAACTTATATATTAACTTTTGTCCCAGTACAAAATTTCATCCCAATTTTCAGCCCCTTAAGGGATGATTTCCGGGATAAAAAGTATCCTATCTCCTTCCCAGGGTTTTAAACTATCTTCTTACCAAATTTCATCTAAGTCGGTTCAATAGATCCAGGGATTTCTCCCTACAAAACGTCATAAACTCACAAACTCAGAATGTCACAAACAAACAAACTTTATCTCTTTATAATATTAGTATAGATTATGAAGCATATACAAAAGTCAAATCGTACACAATCACATCGTTACACTCTACTCGATTAATACGATGGTCAGTATGGGCGGAGGCAGAATTATTTCCAGGGGGCTTCTGCTTCTTCACATTAAACTACTAACTAATCTTAAAATGATTAACTTTAAAAATTTTATTCATATCTTATTTATCGCATTTGAAGATATCTAAATTTAAACAGGGGTTTTACACATATAATTTAATTTCATTATTTTTTTCTATATGTTTTTCTTCATGGCAAGGTGTAAGTGCATCCCCTCGCACCTCTAGTGCCCATGATGATCAACGTAATACTTACTTAGGTTTACACGAATATTTAAGAAGTTTAATAAAACCTTTTGGATGCGATTTTGTTTGGAGCTTTAGTCAATAGTAATAAAAAGTGAATAGACAAAAAATTGTAAGTGAATTGAAAACCTTTTCTTTAAAAGTCGGTTAAAACGGTACAAATCGTGGAAGAAATAGTAAATCAGGTATAAATTAGGTCTATGACTTACTTTGTTTTGAAATCTTGTAGAGAAGACATATGTGAATTCCTTTCCATCAGTGACGACAAAGTACGGTGGCGCCAACAATGTACGGGATGATCTAAAAGATACCATGGCTATGTAGAATAAACTCGTGAAAACTGCATAGAATAGCCCCCTGAAAATAATATTACTTATTTACGTAATGTTTAAGAGATATGAAGACTGAAGAGTATGTGTATTACACATTTTCAATAATATAATAAAAACTTAAAAAAATAAACTTCGAGTAATCGGTGAACATACATAAAAAAAGATTCCGATGAATTGAGAACCTCCTCGTTTTTGGAAGTCGGTTAAAAATGAATCGCTGAATGTGTTGGTAAGCGCAAATCTCGAGCAGCTGAACCGATTTCGCTAATTCTTTTTTTAGAATATTTCTTGAAGTACGAGGATGGTTCTTACGGAGAGAAAAATTAAAAAAATTGCCTGAAAAAGTCTAAAAACAACACTTTTCTGTACTCCCATACAAAAGATTCGTAATAATTCTTAAAAGTCCATTTGAACTTTAATACTATAACAAAGTTTAAGTGTTAGTGGAGAGGTTCCGGGAAGGCAAAACATTGATGGCAATTGAGTGACGTTAGAATCGTATAAAATATATTAATGTAAATATTTGTCAATATTATTAAAAAAAAATAAAATTTATGCCTAACGCTGGCTAATAACTATTTATATCTATTTAAAACGTACCTCGCGACGAACCCGAGCGAAGCGACGGTGAGCCGCTAGTGTATAATATTTATAACGTTATAATAATAAAAATATATATATTTCCAATGAGATTCTGTGATGGCTATTAGAATAGGTATAAGATTGCCACCCCGTATGACTCCTCGTATGTATGCCTATAAAAATTAGCTTTACGAATTCAGTCGTGTTCTTTACTTCTAGTGCCATATTCCGTTCCATTTCACGATAACGATTAAACCAACAAATAAACTTTTAAGTTAGTTTTCATATAGTACGGCCATATATGTATGTATTCAGCCCTTTTTAACGTCCCACTACTGGGCACGGGCCTCCCTTAAATATAATTAGGGGGATTAGGCCATAGTCCACCACGCTGGCCAAGTGCGGGTTGGCGGACTTCACATGTCTTTCGAAAACTTGCTAGGTTCTCTCAGACATGCAGGTTTCCTCACGATGTTTTCCTTCACCGTAAGGCAAGTGGTAATCATGTTATATGATTCGCACATGAAAATATCAGAGGTGCGAGACCCGGGATTTGAACCCGCTTCACTCGGTTTCCCAAGCGAGCGCGTTACCACTAGGCTACCACTGCCTCCTGCCACCTCCTCCTGCCACGGCCATATATAAAGTTAGGTTAATATTGTTGTGAACTTGATAAAATAACTCGCCTATATTGTATTCGTTAACATGTTTCTTAGCAGTTTTAAGTAGAGTCCTAACTGAATTTCATATATGTATGTATTATTTAATATAAAAGTGTATACCTCTTCTTATATTGCCTACGACCGCCATTTTCTTTAAAACTTGCCCTTGCGTAGGGTGAAGCTGATATTATGTATACATAAATGTATAGTTAAAAAAAACAAAAATATAATACAAATGGCTTGACAGAAATCGTTTGACTTAGGAGCGGTTATAGGAATAAACTAAGCGACTAGAGCCGCGAGCAAAATTTAGTTTTAAAGTATTGTAAAATTTACTGTACCTGTAATAATTATCACCGCTTGGTACAATTAATAGAATAAGACTATCCAATAATCCCCATCCTCCCCTCCAATGCATGATGTTAGATAAGATAAAGATGTAAGAATAAATCCTACAGAGGATCCGCTCTCGCACCCATCTCCCCGCCCGCGCTTCTTCACCCCATGCGTTTTTTGATCGTGATAGTAAATATGATCTGGAAAATATAAAAATAAAATTTATTAATAATTAATAATAGTTATAGTTTAAATTATTATTTCAATTTATTGAAAATATCATTAATTTTATTATACTATACATGTTAACAAAACAGTATAGCATAGTAGAGCGTAATAGGTAGTCGGCAGATGCGGTCCTATAAACGGTTACTAGTAAAAATAGAAGCAAACAATAGATAGTTTTTGGAATATTTGTCTATAAAATAAATAAATAAATAAATAAATAAATAAATAAATAAATAAATAAATAAATAAATAAATAAATAAATAAATAAATAAATAAATAAATAAATAAATAAATAAATAAATAAATAAATAAATAAATAAATAAATAAATAAATAAATAAATAAATAAATAAATAAATAAATAAATATGTTGTTAGGACATTAACACACAGCGCCATCTAGTTCCATGATAAGCTGCGAGGCTTGTGTTATGGATACTAGATAGTTGATACACTACACATATATAACTTTGAAGACATACTTATTATAAATATAAACATCCATGACTGGAGTACAAACATTCGTCATTACACAAATGAATGCCCCCAGCGGGACTCGAACCCGCGACCGCTGGCACAGCAAGTAGGGTCACTACAAACTGAGCCAAACGTGTCGTCAAACGTGTCTATCTATCTATGCTGGATACATTGAAAGAGCCTTTTAGTAGTATACCAAAAGAGAATAGCTGGGTTTTTAATGTAGTTTATTGTGTTATCAATCATCTAAACGAAATCGTAATTAATTTCATTTCAATCGATTGAGGAGGTCCAAACACATAGTTTTAAGTACCTGCTTTACGCACTTTTTTTAGCGAGGGTCAAGTTATGAATTAAACATTGAAACTATTGATAGAATTAATGATCGAATATATTTAATCCCTCAACGGCCGCGGTTACGTCGGCGTTACAGTTAACAATAGATTTAAATATTTGCTTAGAAATTTACCTGGGGGTGTTATTTTTAAAACATAGCTGCTTACCTTCGCTTTATTCAGGTGCATCCCTAGGAGCATAATGAATTTATAATATAACATACAGGCAGCGCCAATTTTGGGCAATTTAAATTACTAAAAGTAGACTATGGATTACTCCAGGTCATAATCTATTTATAAACTAAATTTAACCAAAATCCATCCGGTTATTTCAATGAAAAGAGGGTAACAAACATAAGCACATACATATATACTTTCACATTTATAATAGAACAGTTTATTATTGAAAATAAATATTTAACCAACCTGACTAACGCAAAACAAACGTGTATCGTAATACCCAGCACAAATATTTGAGCGTTCGGAAACAAATTTGCTTGTAGTTCCATTAGCCCCCATGTCCCCCGCCAGACACTGACCACTTGCGGAGTTACTATTAATGCGGCAAACACTGCATCTCCTGAAATATAAGCAAAATAAAAAAAACTACATAATATAAGAATTTTGAAATAAAAAAAATACAATCTAATTGATAAGCTCCGCCTTTTTTGCAATCGGTTAAAAAAGTTGTATGCCTCTAGTTACGTTTTTTGTCTAATGAGACTTAATAAAAATAGTTCTCTTGAACGATTCCGGTCACGGCGGTCAATCTCATTGAGACTAGCCAACTGCGCAGGAGATATTATAATTCACAAGTGTACGCGCAGACACAACGTACACTCTCTATTCCTGTTACTCTCATACTCCGGTGGGACGACCACTCGACACCACCGATGAGAGTTAAGGCGCAGGACCGGCGGCTTTACGTGCTCTCCGAGGCACGGGGGTGAAACACCGCCAACTTCCCAACTCCGGGCTGTTACTGAGGCTTACTATATAGAAAGACTAAATAACTAAACTTGGCCCGACCCAGGATTGGAACCCAGGACTTCCGGATGTGCAGCCAGCCGTACATGCTAGCCACTACACCACCGAGGCAGTTTTATAAAGATATTGGGTACATGGGTCAAATGTACTAGCAACACAGTGCATAAGATTGATAATTTTTCAATTTTTCGAGATGAAATTTGGGTATTACAAGCGCATCATACCTGCTCCATATCTCAGTTCTGCACTGTCACATTCAATGGGCTCTTCAGCTTCTTCAATATCTTCTACAGTCTTTTCTGTTCTAATCGCTTCTTGTGGTAAGAGATTGTCACTCGCATTTGGCGGCATCTGTAAATATTTTTTATATTTTTTTAAAGGCACACAAAGGACATTTCAAATATAATTTAGGTACAATAGTGGCGTTTTTTATTTTATTTTTATTTTTATCTGTTTGAAAAGTGAAAACTATACTGCTATGTAAATTAATAATATATTATTAACATATACCTAATTAAATAAGAGCTACTTGTAACCTAATTAAATAACATAACGTAATAATAAATAATAATAAATTAAATTAAATAACAGCTACTTGAAGAACAGCTAATATGAGTTAAAAAAAACGATTGACATCAATGCAAATAACATGCTGACTGACTTGTAAAGTTGACAACTTTGCTCTCTCGGACGACAAAAGGTTTATTTTAAGGTATTTCATTGTTACTTAAAAAGCCATGACAATAATTACTCATTAATATTTATTCTTTATATTTCTCTTATTGTTATGCATACTAGAATTTTATTCTATACATTCATTCATTTTGACATACATAGTATATTTATAACCCGAATATTTATAACTCTGTGTACGTGTGTGTGTACGTATGTATGTGTGTCTATGTATGAATGTATGTATGTCCGACCCCATATTCCCATGTCTATCTCGTAATTAATCACTAAACAGCTTAAGCAGTTATGATAATTTATACGTCGCTAAAAGGCAGTGGTAGCCCAGTGGTAACGCGCTCACTCGGGTAATTAAAAACCCGACGGCGTGAAAAACTAAAAAAATGCGAACAAGTAGACGAAGAAAAATAGTATTATGCAGTCGGAGACATACAACACACGTAACAAGACTCACATATCTCCAATATATACCTATAATTTAAATTAGTTTATTTTTTAATTACATGATTCCTGTAATTATTCTAAATGTGATTAGATAATATCATATTGAATTCGACTAACATATTTTTTTATATGTTCTACATAAAAATTATTAAGATATTTTTTATATAAAACATATAAAAAAAACAACAAGAATAAGGGTAAACATAGTTACATAAAGGAGATGGACTATTAAAACTTTTTAAACGGTAATAAGTATCTGCACTCTTATATACTAAAATTAAAAATATTAAAAAGTCCATTTAAAAAAAAAAATTAACTTAGCAAAATATTCACCAGGAAAACATTTTTTATTTGATGTCAAAAGAGTCACTTAACACAGAAATACAAAAATAGAAAAATAGGCTCGGCAGGCAATGACACGTAGTTATTACGCCTAATGATACAAGTGGGAATTTCCCATGGACACTGAATAATTATACCATTAATTTCACGATAGTATTAAGTCTATAAAGTTTTTTAGAAATAGATTTAATATTAATTTAATATTGAGGTAAAACATCCTTATAAAATTCTCGAAGCATTCAAATATATACGCTTCATTAGAAAACATTGTTATTGCTTATTTTTCAGGCGCTTGAAAGGCTATTTCTGGTACTAGATACATAATATTTTATTTATTTATTTTTTAAATAAAATCTTTTACACAATTATAATATACTTACTCCTCTAGGAAAACAAAGCAAATCTATCCCTCGGGAACCGTATATTTTTGCGGGATAAAAAGTAGCATATGTGTTATTCCAGACTATAATCTATCTCTATGCCAAATTTCATCCAGATCCGTTCAGCCGTTCTGGCGTGAAAGAGTAACAAACATCCATACTCACAAACTTTTCCATTTATAATATTAGTATATACCTATATAGATTTAGAATATACAGCAGTAGTAGCCCAGTGATAATGCGCTCGTTTGGAAGCAAAGTAAAGGAAGTGAAGCGAGTTCAAATCCCGGGTCTCGTACCTCTGATATTTTCATGTGCGAATCATTTTCCAGTACGATTACCACTTGTCTTACCGCGAAGGAAAACATCGTGAGGAAATTTTTTATGGTTTTTATGTAATGTATGTAGAGCATAAGATTTTTTTTTAATTCTAATTTTCTAATTCGTTGAGATATTTAGGTGAATAAGTTGTTGCCAATATCATTTAGTATGGAAAAAGGTATAAGGGAGATTTTTTTTTAATTCTTAAGTTCACAGCCTACCGTCGAGCTTGCCACTATTACCCTTAGATAGCTGAATGCACCATTTGACATTTCTAATTGCTATACGATGTGATCGTTTGTTCGTACGTATTTCACCTAAAACTTGATTTTAATAATTCTATTGAACATATAGGGCTGTATAGAATTTTTTTGGTCTCGTCTCGACTAATACATAGTAATTTTATTCATGACATATTGAAAGAGTGTTTGTGTACTTACTAATATGTACGCACGTAAGAAGTTATACTTCTTTTTAATAACAAATTTTCTTTTAATTTCTTAGTCGAGTGCAATTAGTTTTATATTTCGGAACCCAGGTATAGTAAATGGATTTGACTGATTTTGGAATTTTTGAATTTCTTATACTAAAAACTAAAAAGTTAAAATTTTGAAACCCTCCGCTAATATTTGCTTGTATATTCAATTTAAAAATAAATAATTAAATTAAAATAAAACAAATATTTAAGTGGGGCTCCCATACAACAGGCATGATTTGTTTGCCGTTTTTATAGATAATGGTACGGAACCCTTCGTGCGCGACTCCGACTCGCACATGGCGAACTCCAACTCGCGCATGTTGGGAAATGCATTTACGTTTACCACTATACTATGATCGATTATTAGAGATTTAACTATTAACTGTAGTCTAATTCTGTCGCATATTTTTTCCCTAACACGCAAAAAGAATTATAACTGCAAAAAAATATCAAAAAAAACTTTTTAAACAAAATGATGAGAATAGTTTTTTTTTGTAAAATCAACCGAACTGACTGTTGTATTAACAGCAATTACAAACTAAACTCCCCTACATGTTTATTTATGAACTAGCGACTCACCTTCGCTTCGCTCGGGTTCGTCCCTAGGTTGATTCCCCATACAAACTTTTATACCCATTTTCACCCTCTTAAGGGATGATTCTCGGGATAAAAAGTATCTTATGTCCTTCCTCGGGTCTTAAACTATCGTCTAACCAAATTTCATCTAAATCAGTTCAGTAGATCCAGAGATTACCCCCTAAAACGTCACAAATCCACAATTCACAAACATTACCTCTTTATAATATTAGTTAGTATAGATAGTTTTAGCTACGAACTACCTGCTGGCGCCATTATTTGTAACAGCCTTGAATAAAAATCGATTATCCATACTAGAAAGAGATGTAGTGTAATGATTGTGATTTCTCAAGGTCACGTAAATAAATAATAATATATTATTATTACAATAGGATTACAGATGTGATTATATTTATTAAACATATAATTTGTGGAATTGTTCTTATTAATTAGTATTTACAAGGTTGCTCCGACATCACTTTTACTTCAGGATATAAAGATAATTTTCCTCTATAATATGAGCCTGAGGTACCTATGTAGATGTTTTCAATAGCTTTAAGACTTCATTGTAAAAACTACAATTTGCTTTTAAATTGTTCTAGAGTCGCCCCTCTCAAACTTCTGTCAGCGTTCACTCAGTAAATGTTTATTTTTTTATTTTAAGACACGGTAAATGACGAACGATATTCATATTTACTTACTTATATTTAAAAAAAAATGGGTTAGTTTGGGAACTTCGACGAAAATCATGTAATCATATAAAAAATAGTTATTTTTTTATCTTAAATGAGCAATTCTTACATATGTATGTATATACATTTATTTCGTGTATCTCGGAAACGGCTGTAACGATTTGGTTTCTAATTTTGTATTTAGATAAGGCTTTGTAGTCTATACATATAATATAACTCTGAGTCGAATCTGTACATTAAATATTTTTTGGAAAATATTATTGAAATAATCATTGTAATCGATACAGATGCCCAATCTATAGTTTTTAGAATTTTTGTTGTCTGTCTATCTGGCAACCCATCACGAGAAAACCACTGGACAGATTTGGATGAAATTTGGTACGATGATAACTGGTTATTCGCGTCAGTATATAGAATACTATTTACTGCGAGAAAATATCTCATCTCTGAGAAATCTATACTGAACTTTAAAACGTATCTAGTGAGGGGATCGAGAGTGAGTCGCTAGTGTTTATCTACATAGTCTTGCCATAATTATTGTTACAAAGAAAAAAATAATTTTTCCTATTGCACGCAACATTTATTACTATTACAGTGTGTTAGTTTAATACGTTAATGTAAAACCATTAAAAATATATAAAGCTTATTGGAAGTGGTCTCCATTTTCTGCAATACAGTCCTTTAAACGTTGAGGCCAGTTATCAATAAAAGGATGCACTACTTCCATGGGAAATTTCTTCACTGCTAATCGTATGGATTGTTTTAGGGACTCCAAATTGTCATGGTATTTAGAGCAAGCCATACTCTCTAAAACTAACCATAAATCATAATCCAGCGGATTAATATCGGGACTAGATGACGGCTAGTCTTCAGCCCTGATAAAGTCCGGAACATGGGTTTCTAACCAAGATTGCGTGGATCGAGCTTTATGTCCCGGCGCGACGCCGAGTCTTGCTGAAAGGACCATTCTTGGTTATTGGACATGGTGTTGTTACGGGGCTTAACTACCTACTTAAGAATAGTATCTTGATACACTTGGGCTGATGTTTTAATACCTTTACCTTTACCTTTTTCACAAAAATATGGCGCAGTCACTCCTTCATAGCGTACACTCCAACAAACCATCACTGAAGTCGGATAAAGCCCACGTTGTACGAGTACTCTGTTGACTAATTGGGAAGCTTCCTTAGAGCTTTGAGCATAAACACGGTCATTTTGTTTGTTAAAATATTGCTCAATTGTAAAAAAATTCTCATCCGTAAACAAAAATTTTCTGTGATCTCCCTTTGCGTACCGCTTAAGTAGTTGTTGTAACAGTATTTATGGCCAGACTACACTACTATATACATACATCTGAAAAAACGCATTTTTTATATCTTGTTCGAAATAAAAACCTTTTAACAAAAAAATAAAAACCGACTTCAAACA